CTAACACAANATATATATATATAAATATATATTGCTACACCTGGAAGGCGACACACCACGAACGCGAAATTTGCAGGACGGATAAAGCATGTTGTGGTATGCAAATGATGAGCTTATCAGCGCATTCATGCGAAGCAGGTGGCAGTAGCGACGCCTATAATGTGTATAAAAGAAGAGAACTGACAGCAAGTTTCTCATACAGAAATTGAAATTGAGGGCTGCTCTTAGGTAAAAAAGTTTTGTTATTCCTCGTGAGAGAAGGAGTAGTGAATACCAGCACGCGTCTAAGTTTGATCGAAGTCGAATTGTGGCCTACCGGGATTGCGGTTTATCATACCGAAGTATTGCTGCTCACGTTGGTCGAGATCCCATGACTGTTAGCAGAATATGGAATCGATTTGTTCATGATGATCATATGGAACTCCGTGCAGGATCTCACGTTTGCAGCAGCATACCCTTCGGCTTCCCTCGACGCTGCATCACAGGCATGAGTACCTCCAGTGGTGTGGTCAAAGACCAACCTGGGCTCGTATTCCAAACAAACTACTAGTGGAAGTAGAGCTTCCCCGAGTGACGCCTTCCCGTGACGTCACACCGTCCACTGTTTTGAATTTCGGTATTCTGAGCACAGTGGTCAGTGGAGTAGACTCGTGGACTGGTCTAGTTTATGAGAAGAGTAGGGGTGAGGCTTGTTCCGCGCTATCAACCAATAAAAATGCTCGAAGCATTCTGATGCAATTCAAGCTGTTGAAAAAGGCATTTTGGCTCAGTATCTATTTGAAATTAAATATTGCTTTTTGAGGTTTATTTGAGATTAATATCGTAAAGCTTTACTTTTATTTTATTGCACTAATATTTGATATTTACATTTATTAAATAAATTTCACATACATCTCCGAAATGATAAGTTTTTTTTTTGTTATTTTTGATAGTAATAAACATTGACCTATAAGAAAAATTTTATTTGCAAGTCTAATGATTAAAAATCTAATATGTACTATTATTATAAGTTTGTTTATTCTAATAGCGATTAAGAAACCAAATTCTGTTTTTCAGAATTGTATTACACGAGTACATCGTATAGGTATATTACATGTATGTTTTTTTTATTTTTTTTTATTAAGAAATAAACTTTTAATTGCATTTAATATTATGTGGATAGTAGAAATGATCCAGAAAAAAAAATTTAATATTAGAATTTTTAAATGTGAACAGCATTCTTGATGCATATCACTGTGTTGTTGCTGGCCCACACGGTTAGCGGAGCTAAACCAAGTCCATGACTCCAGAGACTCTGAGTAAGTCTGTAACAAAAAGTGGATCTGAAAAGAGGTCCACTTCAGAGATATTTAGGCATTGAAGTATATGTTCAGGAGTAGCTTGTTGGTCGTTACACTTAGTGCAAACAGGGAAAACTCTTGAACCATTACTGAACAACATAGTTCTTAGGTGACCACTTTGAAATCTTGATATAACCGTCTGATCCCGCCTACTGCACTGAAGGGTCAGGCTGCCACCCGGGCATATCACAAGCATATCACTGTATGTTGCTTAACAGATGGTTTTCCCTTTGCCTTTTGAAAATTACGAATTATCTTAATTATGATTTAATAGAGGTGAGTGAAGGCTTTTTTTTACTTAAGTAGTATTTATATCACTTTATTTGCATTGATAATAAAAGATAGTATAATTTGCAGTTTAAATTCTATTTTCAAGTAAGCTTTTTGTTTTATGCTTCATTATTCTTATACGGGTGAAATTTGATAAATACCAATCAAATGACGAAAAGATAAACATTACAGTTCATTATATAGACCTCCTTGTTACATGGAAAAAATTTTTGAACTCTCTTTTAACAAAACTTTTAAAAAATATTAGCTATAGGAAAAAATTCACTTTGAGAGATTCGAAATATTTAGTTATTAATTTCTCAAACAATTTATGTACAACATATTGCAATTAAATAATGGTCAGCAATATTAGTTTTATGCTAAAAAAGATTTTTCAAAGATTTTAAGTATAGTGAATTATAGTATAGTTTCATAGTTATAAAATACTTTATTATTCACTTAAGTATTTGTTTATATCCCATTTTCAGTTTTATGGTAATATTAGAACCACTGTGGATTCGATTTGAACCTAAAATCTGACAAAAGTGTTTAAAACTTTTTCATTTCGTTAACTGTTCATAAGCTCCCTTTTAATTATTTATTTATTATTATTTTTTTTTGGATAGTTGCAAAAAGTCTTAATGCACATAAAACCTATGATTGTAATAAACAGTTATGAATAGTAGCTCAAATTAAATATTCCACATTACAAGTTGCATAGTACTTAAAATTAATTTAGTTTCAAAATTAATATTTTTTACTGGAAATAAAGCAAACAATACCTACAAGAAATCCAAATTTAACTATTCGAAATAAAAAAAATTGAAATTTCTGGAAAAGAATTAAGAAAAAAGTTTCACTTAAGCATGTGAGGTTGTGAAAACTTTTTTTTTCTTTCTGAAATTTAAGTCCAAAAACACTTTGCAATTATATCTTTTCCATATTGATTGCAAAAGGAAATACTTCTAAGTCAAATTTCTCTACCTTGCTTCAGAAATGAAAGAAATTACAGCAAACATTCTATTACATATAAAACTAATAAAAATTACAAGGTCTTAACTTTAAAAAAAAGTGAAATAAAAAGCGCAATTTAACACATTGGATTCCTATCTGCAGTATCTTTTTAAGATTATAAAATGTAATTAAAAAATGACACACTTGTTTTTTAGTGGAGTAAAAGATTTGCTAAGAAAATTTAGACAATTTCTGGTTAGTAATCATCAATTTTTATCATTTGCAATTTAACTTTAGATAATCTAATAAAATAATAAGAAAATAAAAAGTTCTACAAGATTTTCAGTTAGAAAAAAAATAACATTTACGATTTTACCTATTAAGTTCATCAAATATACTATTACAACCCCAAAAATACCTATTTATTCGCATTTAGCAAAGAAATATTAAATTCAATAAGTTTTTTTTTTTAAAGAGATAAATATGCTCGTGATATTGAAAATAAATTAGGTTCAACTTGTGTTTGTACTGAAATCACGTTTCCTCGCCTTGCTTCTTTTTCCAAGTCCTCTCTTAGTTCCACGCATAAATACTGAACAAGATTTTTCGTTAATCGTGAAAAATCAAAAAATACATCATCATGAAGACTAAAAGCATCTTTTCTGTTTCTATGTATTGGTCTCCTCCGAGGACTTAGCCGTGTAAAATAATTAAAAATCAATGCATTTCATGTGCTTGCCATTACTCTACTGAAAATACCAGTGGTTTTCGCGTCGACCGAAAAGAGCGCTCAATGTCCACTAAAACTTGCTTGGAATAATAGGTATTCAAATAGGTATTTGTTGTAGAGTTAAATTACAAGCATAAATTAGTAATAAATCATTTAATTGGTATTCATTCTCTCACAGGGTTCTGTTTGTAAGTCAGAGTATTCATACATGGATAGAAAGCAGTTTATAGACTTTATTCTTCATTAATATATTCTTTCATAACAATTAAATCTACTTGCATTAATCGGGGGTGGCTGTTCATAAACCACAGCCAATTCCATACTTACAAAGAAAACTGTATAGAAATTTTTAAAAATTAAAACTAAACTGATTATTACACTCGACAATTAAAATTAAATAATTAAATAATAATTATTTTACAAGGGCTGTAATTTATTTAGTAATTTACTTTATAAACTAATTGATCCAGTATTAAAGGTCATACTTCCAAACTAATCCGCCAAGTGGCTATAGGAATACCTTATCATAGTTAGTTCCTACCTTAAAAATGAATCAAAGCTAATTCTAAAATCAGAAAAAAAAATATTTAATAAAAAATTTTAAAAAATGAAAACATATGCGTATATAAATAAATATTGAAACAAATTTGGAGTTCTAAGTGGATTGAATTTCTTTTTAAATGAAATTGAAACAATGAATTAGGAAAATGGTTATTACTTAAACATGTTTCAAATTTATCAGTTTCTTTTAAAAGCTCTTCATAGTTGGAATTATTTCAGCAAAACCTGTATTTCTCCAGATTGAACTCTTGTTATTAATGAAGACAGGAACATTGGAAAAAATCTTATTCGCTAAGTTGGAATTAAAATCAATGCTCTTTTTAAGTTAAAATCCTTTCTTTTGTCAAATGGTTTAAATGCAATTTTCCTATCTTCATTAATAATAAGAAATAAATGTAGAAAATTTGCTGAAGAATTACAAATATTAACTTTGCTAAAAATTAAATCAGTTGGATAAATTTGATTAGCTAAACTATGGATATCATTGAAATTAATAGCCAAAATATCATGAACAAATTTAAGAAAGAAGAAATGTATAGGAGGATTTACTTATGATTTCGCGAATCTATATTCTATTAGAAAACGAAAAATACTGAAAAGATTAGTACTAAAATTATTTCCCTTGGGAATACCATTAATTTGTTGAAAAAGACAGTCACTAAATAGCATATAATTGCTGCTGAGGTTAATATGAACTAGAAATTTCCAGTACTCTTCATCATTATGCTATGACTTTGAAGAAGGTTATTAAGAATTAGGTATATTAGTTGGAAAGAAAAATATGTAAGTTTCCGAAATCAAAGCAGCATGGAGAATAAACATCACTCAAAGTTTTTTAAGATACTTAAAAATTGAATACTGTTCTTCAATATTCAAATTTGGGTGATTATTATTTCAATTGTGCTTTCTAAATTTATAGTATACTTCTTTTTTAAGAATATTTTCAAAGTAAATGTCGATTTTTTTCATGTTACTATTTAGCAAAAAGAAAAGAAAGTTATATATATATACACTATCTAGCCATTAATGACCGGACACCCCTTGAACGGCAGGTGGACTCGTCCTGACGGAATACATAGGGAACCTGTGGTGGGGGAAAGACCATTCGCAAGCAGGCAACGGCCATACGAGCGTTAACAGTGAAAATGAATGGACGGCAAGAGCTGAATGAGGCGGAAAGGGGCATGATTATAGGCGCCCACCGATTTGGTCATTCCATAAGTGCCATCTCCGATAAGTTTCAGATACCTCGGTCAACAGTTGGTGACGTCGTGTTGAAATGGGAACGAGAGGGAGTGATAAAACCGCAGTCCCGACCCGGCAAGCCCAAAATAATGTCCGACAGGGATCGACGATCTCTTCGACGTGTAGTGAAGGCAAACCGACAAATGTCGTTGGACACTGTCGCTACCAACTTCCGGGCTGCATCTGGCAGTGTTGCCAGTGCACGTACCATTCGTCGGGAGCTGATTGCACAAGGATTCCATGGACGAGCAGCAGCACATAAGCCAAACATCTCTCCATCAAACGCCCGCCACCGATTTCAGTGGTGCAGAGCACGTCGCCAGTGGACAGTAGAGCAATGGAAAAGCGTTATGTGGAGTGATGAGTCACGCTACATGTTGTGGCACTCTGATGGACGAGTTTGGA